TGTCTCGGGGAGCATGGGGCCGAGGAGCACAACGCAAGCGGGCAGGCCGCGCAGGTGTGTCTCGGGGAGCATGAGGCCGAGGAGCACGACTCAGGCGGGCAGGCCGCGCAGGTGTGGTCTCGGGCATCATGCGGCCAAGGAGCACGACGCAGGTGGGCAGACCGCGCAGGTGTGGTCTCGAGCATCATGCAGCCGAGGAGCATGATGCAGGCGGGCAGACCGCGCAGGTGTGGTCTCGAGCATCATGCGGCCGAGTGATGAGGTTCGGACGGGAAGGCCGCCCTGAGGGGGGCTCGACAGTCTACGGCCGAGGGATGAGGTTCGAACGGGAAGGCCACCCTGAGGGGAGCTCAGTCGTCTACGGCCGAGGCAAGTGGCTCGGGCCGAGGGACACAACTCAGGCGGGCAGGCCGCGCTGAGGTAGACTCAAGTAGTCAACGGCCGAGCCGTGTAGAGTCAGAGGGGTTTAAGCTGGGGCCAACCGCGAGCCGAGAGGGGGTCAGGTAGATACTGAACCTTCGCTCAGAAGAGACTGAGGCAGGGCTTAGATTTCTTTTCATGAGGACTACATCGGGTAGCCACCGCGGGTGCTTGACTTCTTCTATGGAGCCTGCTGCCAATAGTCGCTCCTCCTCGCGGTCACCCAGGCCTCCGCCGTGATGTACCGGTTAGCCCGCTGGAGCATCTCTGGCACCGTAGTGGGAAGTCACTCCGCGAGGGACTAGAGGAATCTGGAAGGTCGCAGGCCTATCACAAACGCCTGCACTAACAGAGTGGGGTGAGTGTCCGGCAAGCCCTGGATTTACGTCGTAAAGCGGTTCACAAAATGGGAGAGGGGCTCGTCCTCCCTTTGGTTGAGTCTGAGGAGCAACGCCATATACGGCTTTGGTCGAGCGCGGGCCAGGAAGTTGAGCTCGAAGTCTCTGGCGAGCTAATCAAAGGAGGTGATGGTCCCGGTCTTCAGGCCGCTGTACCACACGCGGGCTGGGCCCCTCAAAGTCGTTGGAAACGCTCTGCACATCAAGGCGTCAGAAGTCCCATATAGTGCCATCTGGGTGCGAAAAGCTGCTACATGGTCCGCTGGGTCAACGGTGCCGTCGTAGGCGTCCAACAAAGGGAGCCGGAAATGCGGTGGAATCACTTGATCTTGTATTTCGGGCGCGAACGAGGACCCTTGGTGTCTGTCCGCCCCGAGCTCTCCCTTTGACCTGTGAACCTCCTACTGTACTTCGTCGAGTCGTTGACTAACAAGGCGCAACTGGGCTCGCAAGGCGTTCGTCGGGTCCGCAGATAGCGCCTCGGGCTCTAGGCGACTCGCCGTATCTTCCACTTCTTGGTTCCCGGGCCGGGCTATTTGGTTCCGAGGCGAAGCGGGGAGCTCAAGAAGTGGCGCATGAGTCGGGGTGGGGGCCCCCTGCTGTTGCAAAGGCCGGGTCATATGCGGGGGCGTTGGTTGGGAGACGAGTGGGATGATAGTCTGCACCACGCCCGTCAGAGCTCGAACTTGATGAGCGAGGTCGTGAAAGGCCTCGGGCGACACCGGCGACGGGCCGACGGGGGCACCGTCAGGCGGCGATAAACCCGGGTCGTTGAACAACCGCCAGTAGCGTTCCGACGTTGCGGCGGGGCGTTCGTCTCGGGATTCATCACGCGGGGGATGTTCTCCCGGGGTGCTGATCGTGGGTAATCCGACAGCCGCGGGTTCGTCAGAGTGGATCTGTTGATCACTCGACATTCGGACGGGCCCTTCCTCTAGCGCCAATCTGTTAGTGTAAACAACTTTATGTCGTGGCCTCGGGGTCGACGCGGCTTGGTTGGGGGTCCGAACGGTGGGGATCTAGCGCAGCGTCCCTCGAGATCTCCTGGTGGCCGATTGCGGTGGTCCGGTCGGGACGTCGCGTCGGGAGGAAAGCTTTGCCGCAGCGCCGGGAAGAGGCGACCCCGTTCTTGCACCTGCACACAGGTCGGGCCGGAAGCTCGGTCCGACGCCTCCGACGATCAAGTCAGTGGATGTGGAGGGGATTTTGTATGAAGAAGTGTTCTCCCCCTTTCGTTTAGAACTCGGGGGTATTTATAGGTAAGTTTAGTGTTACCTGATGTGTCTGCCCGCAGGAGCAGGATCGTACCTCTGATGGCGTCTGACATTGCCGTCATTGCGCGGAGAACCGAACTGCCGCAGGGCATGGGCGAGCCTCGGTCGTCGTTCTCCTTTGCCTCGGCCAAGCGTGTTGGGTCAGACAACGATAAAGTCATTGTCTGAGAGCGGGTGACATCAGCGCACATCGCGTCGGCATTATTGCCCTCTTTTGGGCAGAGTGTCATTCAGGCGTGGCGCGTCATGTCGTCATTATTACCCTCATCATATACGATGAGATTTCTCTACTCTGTTGAGGGAAATCCTCTATTCTGTATAAATAAGAGAGGGACATATTAATGTATTCAAGCTAAAGTTATTTCAATAAAGCTTCTTCAATAATTGTTCTTATCTTCTATTATTTTCATCATGGTATCAGAGCCACTTGCCTAGAGCAAGCTCTCTTCTCACTATCGACTTATCTATTGCTTCTCCACTTATGGCGGCAAAAGAAAAAGGCTCTCTTCTCGTTGTCGACTCATCTATTGCATCTCCACCTCCGACGGCAAAATAAAAAGCTTTCTACTACTGCTTTTCTATCGTCAGGCCATCGGTGCGATAAATCTTTCCTCCTCGGCGAACGACAATTGTCTTCTCCACTGCCACTCTATACCAACGTATGTTCCCTTCCGCTGTGGTGTCTCTAGTGCTACGCTCACCGGCACTGCCCCACCTTTCCTCCTTTGCTGTAGCCTTCTTCTCTATTGCAGCTTTCTCCCACCTTTACTGTAGCTTCCTCCTCTGCTATAGCATCGTTGTAACTTCCTCCTCTACTACAGTTTATTCCTCTGCTACAGCATTGCTATATCTTTTTCTATTACTGCAGCTTTCTCCTCTACTACACCCATCGCCGTCACAGCCGCAACAATAGCAACAACAATAACAGTAGCAGCGATCTGCTCTTGCCCTACTCACAAAGCCTTTGGCTCGTAAATCCTTGACAAGAGCACCCTCTTGCGGGGGATGCGGCATGATAGAAGATAAGATTTCTCCAACTATATGAGGAAATCTCTCTACTCTGTTGATGAAAATTCTCTATTTATAAATAGGAGAGGAACATATTCAAACTAAAGTTATTTCAATAAAACTTCTTTAATAATTATTTTTATCTTCTATTATTTTTATCAATTTTCAATAGCGTATCCTAATAACGTCTCACCCCACAAGAATGCTTGCGTAGGGATTAAGTTCGAGAGGCAAGAGGCCCAGTGTGAACAGAAAGAGAGCATTTTGAAAGGTTGCTGCCGACTTGTTGACCTGACCCACCTTGGTTGACTCCCAAACACTTTGGGCAAGCGGAAGGATTTGCCGGTTGTGTGCGTCTGCTGGACGGCCATTGCCGAATTATCGTTCAACAAACAACGGGATTCGACTTGAAAACTGGCTTCCTAAGTTATATAAGTCGTACGAGTCGTCGTATGATCACATTGTTTTAGCCAGTGATCGATCAATCTGTATGAGAAGCAGCGATCAACGGGTTGAATGCTCCACCGTCCACACAAATGTTCGACCAAATTCCAACCATCGGAACTCAGATATGAGTTGGGACCCGTCAAACACGACGAAGGTGTGGTGAGGGACCTTTCAAGGCAATGGGTGGATTTTGCGTGCACTCCTCGTTACTCTTCTCTATGTTCAGACAACCAAACCATAAAGCTCTCCAGTGTTGGAAATTAGGTGCACTCCTTGTCACTCTTCTCTATGTACAGACAACCAAACCCTATAGCTCTCTAGTGTTGGAAATTAGTCGCCCCTCTGTGACAGCAAACCAAGGAAGAAGAAGTCATCTTCCTCGTCGTTATCATCATCATTGTAGTTGCATTATTTGGAAAGAGGGCTCCATGCACATTTCAAGTGTCAATTCATATTTGATAAATTTTTTTTTCTCAAAATAATGCTAAATGCTCAAATGTTATCTGAGGGTAGTATTGGCATTTCAGTATTTACAGGATGTTTTGTATTTTTTTTAATTTCAAAAGTATCATGTAAATTTATCTAAAATTATAAGATTGTTAAAATAATCTAGTGAGAAACTAACATGATTTATATTTTTTATAAGATAAAATTTTATTTATTTATTTATTTTAAAAATATTTTTATATTTATTTATATGATTATATTTTATATTTAATATATATTTGGGCCATAATTTTTTATGAGATTATATATATATATATATATAATTTACTTATTAATTTAAATACAAATATATTTATTTTTGAATAAATATTAAAGATATTAGAAGGGTAAATTTATAAAAAAAATTAATAAATTCTTAAAATATAATTTTATCAAATAAAACTTACATCAATCGAGACACATTTAAAATATAATTTGTACCTATCATTTATCAAACCTTCAAATCATTCGACAACGACACATCTACTCAAATCATAAATAAAATTGTGTTTTCAAACTCTTCCAAGGTTCCTTGCGTCCGCGAACGGAGCATCACCATTGACCAGTTCCAGCTGAAGCAGCAAAAACTGCTTCATCGATCTCTCATGCCTTCCCTGGACATGGATTGCTGTTGATAGCACAGCCCCTTCTTCCTCGGATACACCTCCACCGGTTCACGTGAGATCAAGTGCTTGACGTTTAGGGGTTAGATCCTTGTCACGGTCAAGAATCCAAACACTTGGTCCAACTGCAATAACTAACTCGTGTTCCAATTTTTACCCAGAGGAAGGTTGCCGGAAACTGAGGAATTAGTGATGGACACATAGGCCAGCGCATGACCCGTGGCGGAGACTTGGAACCTTCCACGCTCCTTAATCATTCCAAGAACAACACATGATCCCATGACGGTGTCGTCGTTTTACATTGCCACCTATAAGTGTCAGTCGTCCTCTTCCTAAGCCAACAAAAAAAAAAGGAACTCTTCTCCTTCTCCTCCTACTCCAATTCTATACTGACTGCAGTGTTAGAGTTGTTGAAGGAGGATGACGATAAAGGGTTTGCGACGCCTGCTGTCTTCCTACTCCTTCGGGCGGCACCACCACCATCACCATCACGACCGTCCGTCCTCAGCGTCATCGCCCGCATCATATCCTCATACGACGCCGCCGCCGCCGCTGCAGCAGCAACAGCTGATCGCGGGCGGGGTGATGAAGGACGACGTGGCGGCGATCGAGGCCATCCTGGCTAAGTGGGAGCCGGACGACGCCGCGTACGCCAAGAGCTCCTCCCTCTTCCACGGGGACCGCGCAGAGGCCTGCGAGTACCTCGCCGCCGTCCGTGACCTCCAGCGCGCCATGCTGTCCTTTGTCTCCAGCGATGCCTCCTCGGAGTCGTCGTCCCACGCCGCCCTCATCCGCGCCCAGACCCTAATGCAGACCGCCATGCGCCGCCTCGAGAAGGAGTTCTATCAGATACTCGCAGCCAACCGCCACCGCCTTGATCCCGAGTCCGTCTCCGCCCGCTCCTCCACCCACTCTAGCGCCTCCGACGACGCCGAGTACGACGATGTACGGGGAGCCAGGAACTCCATGGGCGATGTCGAGGGCGCCGCGGCCATCGCCATGGATGACCTTCACGCCATCGCCGAGACCATGATCTCTGTCGGGTACGGCAAGGAGTGCGTCAAGGTCTACAAGGTCCTTCGCAAGTCCATCGTCGACGAGGGGCTCTACCGCCTCGGGTTCGAGCGGCTCAGCCCGTCCCAAGTCCACAAGCTCGATTGGCAGGTGCTCGAGCCAAAGATCCGATCTTGGCTCGGCGCCTCGCGCGTGGCCGTCAGCACTCTGTTTTCTGGCGAGCGGGTCCTCTCGGACCATGTCTTCGCCAGCTCCGACTCCATACGGGAGGCCGTCTTCGCCGACATCTCAGGCGACGCCGCCGTGCAGTTCCTCCGGTTCCCGGAGTCGGTGGCGAAATGCAAGCGCTCCACGGAGAAGATGTTTCGGATCTTGGATCTCTGCGAAGCCGTCTCGGAACTGTTGCCGGAGATCGAACCTGTGTTCTCCTTCGTGTCTACAGCCGCCGTCCGGGACCAGGCCCTCTCTGCATACTCCAAGCTCGCCGAGACCGCTCGCGCCATCCTCGCCGACTTCGAAGCGGCCATCCACAAGGAGCACTCCAAGTCGCTGCCTCCCGGTGGAGGGATCCACCCGCTCACCCGTCACGCGATGGACTACGTCATTACCCTCGCCGACTACGAGCCCACCCTCGCTGAGATCTTCGCGGATTTCCCCCTTCATACCCAGAGCTCCCTCTCCGACTTCTTCGATAGCTCGTACTCGGAGTCGCGGCCGTCCTCGCCGGCGTTCTCCTCCTCCATCTCCTCCATCGACGACGGCCACGGGTCGGAAATCGCCGTGCGGTTCGCGTGGCTCATATTGGTGCTGCTCTGCAAGCTCGACGGCAAGGCGGCCGCGTACCGAGATGCTGGCCTATCGTACCTCTTCCTGGCGAACAACCTGCAGTACATAGTGAACAAGGTGCGGTCTTCCCGGCTGTGGGGGATGCTGGGCGAGGAGTGGACGGCTCGGCATGCGGCGAAGGCGAGGCAACACGCTGCCGGGTACGAGAGGGTGGCGTGGGGGAAGGTGCTGGCGTTGGTGACGGCGGAGGAGGTGTCGCCGGGCGAGGCGCGGGATCGGATGCGTGCGTTCAACGCGGCGCTGGAGGAGGCATGCACCGCCCAGGCCGGGTGGGTGGTGGCTGACGCTGAGATGAGGGAGGAGGTGAGAGCGGCGGTGCGGGGGATGCTGCTTCCAGCGTACCGAGGGTTCTACGAGCAGTGGAGAGTCGTGCTCGAGGGCAGCGGCGCGGTGAGGTTTTCGCCGGAGGAAGTACGAGACAGGCTGGCGGAGCTGTTCGACGGCTCCGACGATTCCGGCTCCGGTTCGTGCTCGAGTTATCGCCTCGGTTCGGATTCTGGCTCTGTCCGGTCCGAGCCATCACCCAGGCCCATATAAGTCGACAAACACTACTGCCTGCACGGACCTGAAAGCAGCTCCTTCGTAACTTGCCATTGATGTCGTCATCGAACAATTTACATTAAGTACCGTTCTTTTCGTAGTTCTACTTGTGGTCATGTATATATATACATATATATATATATATATACATATATAAATATATATGTATGTATATATATGTATGCATATACATATATATATATATATATGTATACATATATATATATGCATACATATATATATATATATATATACATACATATATATATATATATACATATATACATATATATATACATATATACATATATATATACATATATACATATATATATACATATATACATATACATACATATATATATATACATACATATATACATACATACATACATATATACATACATACATACATATATACATACATACATACATATATACATACATACATACATATATACATACATACATACATATATACATACATACATACATATATACATACATACATACATATATACATACATACATACATATATACATACATACATACATATATACATACATACATACATATATACATACATACATACATATATACATATATATATACATATATATATATATATATATATATATATATATATATACATATATATATATATATATATATATATATATATATATATATATATATATATATACATACCCGATTTGCTTATATGAGTAGGCATATAAGATTTAGCCCAATCCAAATTAGTGTTGGAGTTGTAAGTTAACAGTTATAAGATATGTTTTAAGAACTAATGTTGAGATTATTGTATTTGTAGGATACATATAGTCAAAGTAAAGAATTAAAACACAAAAAATACAAATAATTCATATGAAAACTGATTCAGAGAGCTTATCAGCATATTCAATAAAAGGAGAATTCTGCATGGTGTGATAGTTTTAGACTAATGTCATATGATATTTTTAGACTTTTTATTTAAAAATATAAAGTTATATATATTTAACAAGAAGAAAATTATATTGTACATTATTTAGCAAATTTTGAGGGGTGATTATGGTGTGATAGCTTATGGTGGAACATACGTAACATCCCAATTTAATTCTACATTGGACTTGGGTTAGGACTAAGATTAACTAATCTGTAAGAATTTTATGGATATGCATGCTATTATTATGGATAGGCCTAATAAAATTAATAAATCGTGGGGCCATGATGATTGATAACTTATGAAACGTGACAATATATTTCCTCTTATTTGAAAATTTTTATCTATCAAAGAAATGGTGGCATGAGGTTTCCACCTTTAACAGTAGCCCTGTTTTCACTGTTCTAAATTATGAATTGGATATCAAAACATGGATCTGTAATGTAATAGCAGTCCCAAACTTGAAGTGCTTCTTTATTTGAATCAACAAGTTTGAGGAGGAAGACGAGAAGAAAACATGCATCAAACTAATGGAGAGAAGGACCCAGCGATAGCCTGTACACCTCTCACATGTAACTTCACAGGATGGATACATAGACGAACTACAGATAACTTAATTATCTGCTTATCGAGAGAACAAAGCACAAGGAGAAACACCAGTGCTCGAGAAGAATAGGCATACGAGATGCAGAATAAAGAGGACGCTCGTCAACTCCGTGATGCATGTCACCCTCGATCCACCACATCGACGCTGGAAGTGCAGGAAAGGAGACGATGGAAGATGAAACAAAGGGTGGAGTAGGACATCTCGCGCAGCTTCCTCGCTGTCACGCAAGCCTTTTTCTTCTTCTTCTTCTTCCTTTTGGTCTTCGTCTTCGTCTTCCTCTTATCGATGTTCTTCTTACTACTGGTATCACCGTCAATACTTCCTGCAGCGTCTTCATTCTTCTGTTGGAGGAAAGGGAACACAGCGGCTCTCTCCTTGACTCTTCCGAGGCACCGCAGTGTCTTCTCGGGGACACTCTCCTTCCTCGAAAAAGTGTAGCTCCTCAGATATATCTGCCTGCATGAGTAGCTATCGACCACCGTCGGTTCTGCACTCCACCTCCTCCTCCCATCAAAGCTGGTGCTGCCCACGCGGTCGTCGACTCTTCCTCCTCCTCCTCCTCCTCCTCCATCACCACCTCCTCTGGTCACTGACTTCACGAACTCGGCGTCGGACTCCGGCCACTTGTAGAGGTTCACATAGGTTGCTCTCACAGGCACACGTGCGTCCACGCAGCTGAGAGACGACCTGCACCCGGAGCTCATGGAAGCCTCTCAACGCCCTGCGCTCCCCTAAGCTCAAGTTCCGGTCTACTTGCGAGTTTAAAGGGAGAGCAGCGAGTAAGGCTGTGGAATAGGCTTCAGGTGCAAGAAAAGGTAGGGAAGTGCAAGTGAGACTTTGAGAGATGGGGATGGTTTTATAGCTCAAAAGCCATGTTTACTCTACCAAAGTGATGGGGAAGGAATGATGTGGCATCATGAGCTATGAGTGTCATGTCTCTCTCTCTCTCTATCTCTCTCTCTCTTTCTCGCCTCCAATTCTTCCTCTACTTAATTGAGTTAGATGATGGAGACCTGTAAACAGCGGGAAGACAATACTGAAAAGAGACTAATTAAGTTGAATGCTAACATAGTAGGCACGTCAGAGAGGCACTACAAGTTTAAGACAGCTCAGGGGTCCAAAGCCACGGTATATGATGCACATGGATGGGTCATTATGGTCGCCACCGAGAGACATGGCCACTGCCATGAATACACGAACACTTGTTAAACCATGGTCCACAACTCTTAATGAGAGCCTCCTCTGCGTTCCCAGTAGTGTAGAAGCAGTGATGAGAGTGGAAGGAACAAGTGTCTCCGTGGAGCTCTAATCACACGCCTAAGTTTTAACTATATGACCATGGGGACCAAGCTCTGAGCAAAGAACGTGAGGCCTGCATTATTACAGATACAGTATGTTACAACCTTCGTCCACACTTCAAGTCTGTAAGATGATAACATCTGCTGCTTTAGACGCCAACACCAAAATAACAATTTACCACTTTGAAGATACAAGAAGGCCATCGTCAGGCTAGCGAATAAGGGAAGGAATCGTAGAAGACAAGAATACGCAAATGGTCGAGGAAAAGCGTATGGTGAAGGGATTTAGAATTGTCAAGCGACCACCGGAGAGATTACATTTTATTGGCCAAAGCTCATGCGTGCAATAAATTAAACAGTTGGAATAAGAAATACTCTCACGCAGAGTAAATGATGAAGTCGGATTACATACATTACATTAATAAACTTTGCATCCGGAGATACCATTATTATGTGTCCACGTGAAACCAAAAAAAGCTTAAGCTTAGCACAGGGCTTGAAAGATGGCATCGATTACAAGGTGCAAAAATGATCGAGTTGAACATTCTCAAATACATATGCAGGTCGTTGGTGGTGTTAAGCTGCTGCTGCTGCTCTTTTGGATTTGTTTCGATCATGGAGATGAGACGGAACTTCAATCAGCTATTATTAGCACAAATTAGACCAATTTATCTGCATCCGCTACCATTAGTTTTGTGGACTTAACAAGCAAGCTAGAACAATTTGGAAACCTGCTGTGTATAATAATTTAAACACAAACAGTAAAGATAAAAGCAGGCAGCTTGTTACAAAAATTCAATAAATGCTTTCCTTCAGCAACAAGCCGATTCTCCTCTTTATAAATAAGCCTTGCACTCGTTGTAAAAATATATCTGATTGGTGATTAATTGTGGCTTATAGGAAGGCTCAATTGCTATTCTAAACAACTACTTTCAAGCTCTTCCATTGTCATACATATATATGAATATATATTGCACTCATAATTATATAATTGAAAGATTGAACCTAGAACACGTCCGGATGGAAATGACCTGGGATAGAACTAGCACCCTGTGCCTTCTGTAGATGAATCTTCAATGTATAATTGCTCATCTGCAACAAACAAGTGGTGTTTCATCATCCGATCAATCAAACAACTTAAAACTAAGCCCTAAGGCTCTGTGAAGAAAGCTCACCAAGTCCCTAGTTCTTATGAAACACCAACTTACAAGTGAAACTCAGGATTAAGTCAACCATGTATCCCTTTGGCTTAAACAGAAACACTAAAAGGCAACGAGAGTAACTTCTAATTACCTCCAATGCCCGGACTTGCTCTTGATACTGGCCTATAACGTTCTTCAAATGTTGCACCTCCTTAACCTTCTCATCGTGATCTGAATTGCGCTCATGCTGGATAGTGACAGCCCTCTTTAGGATCTGGTTGTCTCTTAATAAACCTTGCAATTGCTCTTTCAAGGAATTGATCTCGTGCTGCTCCTCATAACCAATCAGTTAGCAATCATAGATTACATGCTTCTACAATAATAGAAATTTAGTATTCAGATGACTTACCTCCACAGCTGCTGTAGTCTGAGCAACAACGTTTCTTTCAAAAACTTCTAAAATCTTCATGGCACGACCACGGACATCATCCCAATCCGACGCACTCATCATTTCCTGTACAAATATATCAACCCAAGAAGATCCATTTTGGGCTTCCCTAGGCTGAGAATCTGCACTATTATTCTGAGAGACTTCGACCTTGTGTTCAGATGCCTGCAAGCTCACAACACCTGAATTGTATAATGAGATAAATGTCTGATACAAAAGAGAACAAACAAGGATTCCAATAAAATTATAGCATCATCACCAAAGTGGTAGGTATCAACTGGCGATACAGGCACTTACTTTCAAGGGCATTATCACTTGATTGCAAAACTAAATTAACTCCTTCGATGCTCACAGAACCATCACCAAGACACAAAGCATGAAGACTCTTAATTGCATCATCAATTTTGTGGTCATGGGAATTCAAAACTGTTTCAACAACCTGGATGAGTAGTGGCAAAGAAAAACCTCAACAGGTTAGGTCACGAAAACCAAGATCACTAGCTCCCTAATATGAAAAGTAAGATACCATCATCAACCACTGAATGACACCTTTAATCAATGAGAAATTCTGATATCTACTAAAGTCTATCTCATCAACATATTTTCCAAACAAAAATTCACTTCATAGGCAAAAGAATATTGACCAGTAGAGAATGTGTGTGTGTGTGTGTGTGCATCAAATATGTAGAGCAGTGTGTACAACCTAAGAGATGTTATATATACAGGTAAGGACAAAGCTCTATTGAGACAGAAACTGCCATGCTTATCCATAACACAATCTATAGTTCAAGAATTTCTATCCCTAGTTTGTTCTCTAACTTACCCATGACTCATTAATAAATTGGAATCCAGATATCTGTGATTACCAATTAGGAAGATTTTGTTTTGATACAAAGGTTCAAAGCATTTTAGTGGTAAAGTCCTGAAAGAGAAACAATACAAGGTTCACATGGCCATGATGGTAAATGCATTATAATAACAAGAGGAAGGAAGTGCGGCTTTCCCGCATTCCATCAGTACATTACAATTTTTTTATCGCTGATAAAAATCTGTTCAAATGTGGCCAACTACTTAGATGCCGCATTATGTGCAATCAACATCCCAATTGGGACCATGCACAACCAGAAAAGTCAAATTTCATAAGCCATCGCATTGATGTCGAACCAATTGCAGCCAAGACTGATCGGTTGGCCATCTCATCATGTCAGCAAATCCAGTCCACTCAGCAGCAAAGAAGCTCAAAAACCTCATAACCACAAATCCAAAACAATTTCTCTCCTACTTTTCCATTCTCCTTGCAGATTTACTAACGAAAGATGACTGGGTAATTTCTCTTTAATGAAAATTCAATCTCCCACCTTGTTCGCAACTTTTCATCGCATGATCTGATCCGACAAATTCCATCGAATTCAACGTGTTCAGTCGCTCGCCGATGACTATGTTAGGCACCAACAATTCCTAGAATCCTATAGCGTTCACCGAGAACTAACACAGAGCTTTACAGATTGAAACCGCAGTCTAATAGGGGCGCGAACACCCAGAATGAGAAGAGAGAGAGAGAGAGAGAGAGCAAGGATACCTCCCGATCCATTGAAGGGAACATGCGGAGGAGTACAGAGAGCTTATCCTCAGATCCGTAGAGGGCGCAACGAGATCTCTTGGCCGACGGTGGGGACGGCGCCGGAGATCCGAAGATTTCCTCCAACCCTAGGCGCTTCCCGCAGATCCCTGCAGACATGGCAGCCGAGCCGCAGGCTCCAATTGAAGCCCCACCCAAATCCTCCTTCCCCTTCCCCTTCCCCTCCCTCTCCCCTTCCCCTTCCTCCCTTCTTCGGCGCCCACCACTTCGCTTTCTACTTGTATATCCCCTTCGCTGTTTCCTCCCCGACTCCCAAATGGCAATTGCTCTCCTCTCTCGCCGCCTTTTCCAATTGCGGTGTTATGTTCCCAACAACAATACCAACAACAAACAAACTTCCCCACTCAATGACGCCTACCCTTTCCGCTACCTCATTATGTCCATCAAGTGGGCCCCACGCAGCCTCTGTTCCTCCTGTCCGTAGGAGTGATTACGAGTAACAAGAGCAATTACATGATGAACTTCGCACCTCTTCTTGTCGGACACGCTCATTTACCAATCTCGTTGATGGATGCAGGAATATCCCCGCAGGTGGGTCCCCATGAAGGTGTCACTATGCAGCTTCTTTACCCTCCCAGCATAAGTAGGAATTACGAGTAATAGATAGGAAATCCATGAGTCGCGTTCTTGGGTCCCAATTCTTTTCATTCATAAAATAAAAATATAAAATTAATACTTTTCAATAAAATGATTATAGATAATTTGAAGTTTATATATCTCATCGCACCTTTTGTCGAGAATACATGTGATAAGTTAGGGAAGATTCCAAACCAGGTTTTGATAGAACTACATAATTTAGTTGGTTTATGAAATAGAGCTCCTAGTTAACATCTATTTTAACCTGTCGTACGTGGTTTTGATAGATTATATTTTTACGATTTATTTATGTCTAAAATAATCTCTATATTTTTAAAAAATAGTATAGAAATCCTAAGTTTGAGTTAATAAATATTAAAATTTACTTATATATTGACTTATAATAAATTATTAATATAATATATATATATATATATATATATATTTTAAGTTTAAAAAAAAGTTAAGATCTATTTTGGCCCTTGTGATTTTGGTCATGGTCCGCTTAAGCCCTTATGATTTATTTGTGTCTAAAATAATTCTTATATTTTAAAAAACATAACATATAAGTCCCTCTCGTCAAGTCTAAATTAACATATGTTAGAGTCTGCTTATATGATATGCTAGCTCACAATAAATCATTAATATAATGATATATATATTTTAAGTTTAAAAAAAATCGAGACCACCAACAATCGTGGGAGGAAGCATCGTTGTGGAAGCAATCACCAACAA